GTCGTTTATGTCTGTCGATTATAATATAATCGACAGAATAATTGCTATAATCGACAGTATTGACTGTCGATTATACTGCGTTTTCTAGTAGTGTATGTTGCATACAAAGACTGCAAATAATATAACTGCTAATGGTTTTAATGCCATGCTCAAAGGATGTAGAAGATTGTTAAGTGTTGAAGATCAAGAAAAAGTTCCTTCAAACTTTTATGAAGTAAAAAAATATATGAAGAGGCTTGGGTTATGTTATCTAAAAATTGATGTTTGTGTTAATAACTGCTTTTTATACCATGGGGAGCATACGAAAACATTGACTACATGTCCAATCTGTGGAGAAGCGAGGTATAAACAGAGAAATCCAGGGAGGAATAGACAAAAGGACATTCCGAGGAATTCCCTTTGGTACTTACCAATAATACCTCGCCTTCAGAGGCTATACATGTCTCGAAAAATAGCTAAGCACATGACATGGCATTTGAAATGTTGTGGTGATACGGATGAGGTCATTCATCCAGCACAATCAAAAGCATGAAGACATTTTGATCAAATGCATCATTCTTTTAAAAGAGAACCTCGTAATGTTCGATTAGGTCTTGCTACTGATGGTTTCAACCCATGGACTCATTCTTCAACCTCCTACTCTTGTTGGCCAGTTTTTTTAATTGTTTATAATTTACCACCAGAGATGTGCATGCAAACAAAATTTACTTTTCTTACATTGGTCATTGCTGGTCTAAAAAGCCCAGGTAAAAATATTGATGTTTTTCTTTGACCTTTAATTGAAGACTTGAAAAGGTTATGGTCGATTAGTGTAGAAACATATGATAGTTATCATAAACAAAACTTTATAATGCGGGCTATGTTGATGTGGACCATAACTGATTTTTCGGGTTATGGTATGGTGGCTGGTTGGAGCACTCATGGCCAATTGTCATGTCCTTACTGTATGGAGATGACACAATCTTTTTATCTTCAAAATGGTCGGAAACCATGTTTTTTTTATTGTCATCGTCAGTTTTTACCAGAATCACATTGCTTCAGATTTGATCAGAGTAATTTCTTGAAGGGTCGGGTTGAATTAGGCAGTCCCCCTCCTCGATTGGACGGTGTTTCAATGCGTCACCAAGTTGAAAACCTTCCTGATGTGTTGTTTGGGAAACCCTTTGAAAACCAAACAATTGAGGGTTTTGGGAACATTTATAATTGGGTGAAAAGGTGCATTTTTTGGGAACTTCCTTATTGGCATGATAATCTTGTTCGACATAATCTTGATGTAATGCACTGTGAGAAAAATTTCTTTGATAATATAATACACACTGTTATGAATGACAATAAGACAAAAGACAATAGGAAAGCAAGATTGGATTTAGCCATTTATTGTGACCGAAGAAAACTGCACATGGGATATAATACGCATGGTAAGTTTGTGAAACCTAATGCTAGTTATGCACTGACATCTGAAAAACAAAAGCTTCTATGTGCATGGCTAAAACAGTTGCGCTTTCCAGATGGGTTTGCTTCCAACATATCAAGATATGTCAAATTGAATGAGTCCAGGTTATTTGGGATGAAAAGTCATGATTGTCATGTTTTCATGCAACGACTAATTCCAGTTGCTTTTCGCGGTTTATTGCCATCTGCTATTTGGGGTCCTTTGACCGACATTAGTAACTTCTTTCGTTCACTTTGTTCCCCGGTCATTAAAGTTACTGAGATGCAGAAGTGGGAGGCAAAGATTGTTGAAATAATTTGTAAGTTAGAAATAATATTCCCCCCAGCATTCTTTAATTCTATGGAACATCTAGCAATTCATCTTCCATATGAGGCCAGAGTTGGTGGTCCTGTTCAATTTCATTAGATGTACCCATTTGAAAGGTAAAACATACAAAGAAATTGATTGATAATTTTAAAACTTACTTTTGATTACTTTTTTGTAAATTAATCTTATCAGTATTTCTTTTCAGGCGCATGCGCAAACTTAAGAGTACCATAGAAAATAAAAATCATGTCGAGGCATCAATTGTTGAGGCATTTATATTATACGAGATATCCCACTTTTGCTTTCGTTATTTTGGAGATGATGTTGAGACAAGCTGAAATCAGCCTCCAAGGAACTATGGTGGCATTGGAACCAACGTCCCAAGTAAGTTATCCGTATTTTGTTCCCTTGGTGAACCAATAGGGGCCCACTCACGTACACGATGTTTAACATTGGAGGAGAAAGATGCAGCTGAACTATATGTCTTGCTAAATTGCAAGGAGGTTGATGTTTAGGTAACGTAAGTTTTATTTCTTAGGAAAATAAGAACTACACAATGTTTAATAGCCTATATGATTTTCATAATGTTTTAATTAATAAATAAATGTTATTTTACAGTAAAGTTGAGGAAGAAGTTGGTGCAAATTTGTCACATGAACAACTACAAAGATTGCGAACAAATAATTTTGTTCAATGGTTTAAAAATATGGTAATTAATTGTTATATATTATTTTCTCAAATTTTTA